CAAGGTGAGCATGAGCTTCACTCCTGTCTCTGCCTAGAGGTTACATATATGTAGAGCCCTGAGATCCCAGGTCACCAAATTTCTATCTTTAATACCAACCATGTTAGGGTTTGGCTGGTCAATGGTACTTGTCAAGCATTGTTTTAAATCCATTACATTTATTAGTACATTGGAGCCTCCCAACTACCTTCCTTTGCAAGCAAATTAGAAGGGAAAGCTGATTGTGTCTCCCATTACCATGGTCAATTAAGAGACAGTTCTGATCTCCACGTATTGTCTAGTGAATTGAGAAATAAAGAGATCAAGCCATTCTTTCCTGGTCATCATCCATAGGAGCAGTGCTGCTTCCTCTAACTCTGTTTGCTCTCTTGGAATCTGTTTCTCTTAATGCATATGCAATTCCTTGATGGAAAGCATAATTTTGAAATAGAAGTCTCAGCATTTTGACCCAAGTAATGTTGCATTTTTAGACTCAGTTTTCTTATCTGTGCAATGGGCACAACAACTGATTTTTATACCACACAGTTGTTTTGAGTATTGAATGAGGGAAGCCTGATTATACCTGACTCATGGGAAGTGCTCATTAAAAAGTTACTATAATTATCATCATTATATTATTATCACACAGTCAATTTATGTTGGCTCTCTTTAAAAACTCATTACACCAAAAGCAATTGGGTAAAAAAAATCTGTAAATTTGTTTGCTTTTTTACTCTTTTAGGCAATAGATTTCGGGGCTTAGGCAAGCCTTATTCTTTCATTTTGTACTCTTGAAAATCATATTTAAATCTCTGAGATATATCTTTAGAGGCAGATCCTCTTAGGCTTATTTCAAGTCAGGAAACTTGGATGTGTTTCTCTCWGCAAAAAGTCAAAATAGCTCTTCAACTAAGTTCATTCTTGTTGTTGTTGTTTTTCTAACTCAAAACTGGGATTATTACCTTTCTCTGCTGGATGGCCAGGGGGGCTGCACACTGCAGAAAGAATGTCCAAGGCTCACTCTACCCTTTGGCTTACTTTTCCCTACATCCTTATCTCCTGCTGACATCCCTTTCGGTTACACCAAACTCCTTCTGTTTGAGAGGACCCTGTGCTTAACTGTTGCGACTCTCTCCTCATCTCCAGGAACTGTGCAGAGATGCCTTCTTAGGTTAGTTCTTCCCTAGGGACTCAGCCAGCTGGGATGGGCACAGGTGCAGGCATTGGAGTGTTGGCATCCCTTCCTTATCCCCTCCCCTGGCACTTTTCTAATCCTCTCATGAGCCAGCATAGCACCTGGTCCTTTTCACTATTTACATGCAATTGGGAAAACAGTATAGGAAAGACAAATTTCAAAAGGGAAAATCACACCCCAAAGATCACCATCATTTTTACACATTATCTGAAAGGCTTGGTTCATGTGTGTGCATGTGTATGTGTATCACAGTTGCAATTGTAATGAAGACACAATTATATATTGATTACCCCTTTGTTATTATATCCTACTATTTTCATATTTCTGCGTAATTGCCATGATTGTTAAATATGTACAACGCCGTTTTGACATAGGGATTCACAAAAATTATCTACTTAGAACTATTTTTTAAAACATTTTTAAAATTGTCGATGGACCTTTATTTTATTAATTTATTTATATGTGGTGCTGAGAATCGAACCCAGTGCCTCATACTTGCTAGGCAAGCACTCTACCACTGAGCCACAACCCCAGTCCTATTTAGGGCCATTTTTAAAATTGTGAGATCTATTTAAAATTGCATTTGTCAGTCTCCACTTCATGACAACTTGAAATTCCTGAATAAAACATTTTTAATTGTTTTTAGTTTTGCCCAAAGAGTATAACATTTTACTCAGAATTTTTTTTTTTTAATTTAGGTGATTTTGGTTGTGTTCACCTTCATCTGCTTAGTAATGGCTTTCTGGAAAAACTAGTTTTTAGAAAAGACACTTGTTTCTCTGTTTTGGTGCAGAGATGCAGAGACTTGCATATGTAAAATGGTTTGAAACTGAGATGTTTAATTTGGTCTCAGTTTCTGCTGAGACTTTAAGTGTAAAGAGAAAAGAAAAGAGGTTAATGTCCCACACATTCACAAAGAGAATTCTGAACCATGTAAGCATAGCTATGATATGACTTAGATATGACTCTAAGCCTTCCCCTTTCTTGTGCATACATGAGAGGCTTAAAGGTCAATGGAAAGATACTGGAGAGTGACTTTCTCAGGAGAAAGCCAGAGTACTGGGGCATTACCCTCTACTGTGCTCCCATCTAAGGCAAAGGAAGGGGCCTTCAGAGAGCTCAAAGAGTTTGAGGTGGATCTGGGGAGTAAGGAGCTTGAATATGCAGATAGGCAAAAGCCCAGTGGGAATGGCATTTGGTGACAGAGCCAACCAATGGGATGACCTTAAAGGAATGATGTGATTTCCCTGACTTTGTGGGACTGGGAACGGATCATGGTTATTTCCTGTGAGCCTGATTTGGGCCCCATGGGAGGCAACTTGGATCATCTTGAAAAATGCCAAAGAGGACATCCTATAGGGGTGAATCAGCTATAGTACAGGGGTGACAGATAGAAAGTCTAAGGATTGTCCGTTGGAGGAGGAATTGCCCACATTGAGGACAATCCCCAGTGACAGAGGTCACCCAGAGCTCAGAGAGCTACTCCTGAGAAGGGGGGTCAACACCTGGAGCAGCCAGCCCACTGTTGTGAGCTGCAGAAGAGAAAAGCAACTGGAGGGGAGTACTGCAGAAGCTGGCCACACCCACGCTCCCAACTGGCCACGCCTCTCTTCATTCAGGTCTGAACTTGGAAGGCCAGGGAAGGGCCAATATTAGATGTGCCCAGACATTTCTGGGGCAGTGAGTGGGAGATAGAGGGCAGACTGAGTCAGTTACACTCCTTAGTTCATGGCACACTGGCATCATTAATTTGTACAACTCTCTTTTGTGATATGTATTTATAAATTTTTGTTCTCCATCCCTACTTGGTTCCTCTCCATGAAAACCCATTTTAACAGGTTCCATATGTACTTTTTATTTGCACATGTTCTGAAAAATTTCCTATTATTTCTATTATTGTGTGTGTGTACTCATGTGCACGGGCATTTCATGAATATAATTAGCTCTGTATTAACTTGTCTTGTTTCTTATTTTATTGAGCACTGTTTTTAAGATTTGTCTTTGTTGCTATGTGATAAGTTGGGCCTAAAAGTCCCAGTTGGATGTAATTGGTCTGAACTTTTATACTTGAAAAATTGAGACTATTTATTAGTACCTGAGAATGGAAACACTGTACTCCACCCCATATTTCATCCAAGGTGGAGAAGGATGATTTCATAAACAATATTTGAATGCCATTGTTTTCTGAGGGGAGAGCTCCTTTAAACTGCATTCCCATCAAGTTCAATTCTTTTAGCCCACTGGCTATAAACTGTTTATTGATACATCCGCTTATATGAACCAAATACCTGTGATGTATAAGATTCTGGTCTCCAAAAGATTCAGGGATAAATAGGATTAAATAGCAAAAGGCAATGTCAAGTAAGGCTGTTCTGGGAGGTACAGAAATAAAGGTGCAGGCAAAGGGGGAGGACTTCAAGGGTCATCAGGGGAATGAAGAGAAAGAAGCTGAATTGCATCTGTAAAGTGTAAACAGAATTTTGATATAATGCAAAACACATTTAGATCTTTTGGGAAAGAACATTAGCAAAGTAATGCAAGTTAGAAGGTTCCAGGGGTTTTAGTTGGGAGGTGAAAAATGTTATTTTTTCTTTTTATTTCCCCCTTTTCCCCCCTGAAGCAAAAGATTAGGTTATTTTACTACACATTTAATGGTTTGTTTTGCTTAGTCTATAATCTAGAGTATGACGATTGATTCCTGGCTAGTTAGCTCCATTGTTATTCTCAAACATCAAAATAAGGAGGCAGTGGTGGGGATTTAAATTTGGGTGAGTCAAAGGCTTACCTTTGTGTGTGTATTGCATGTTTTTTTCCTTTTTTGGTCCCTGGGATTGAAGCCAAGGGTGCTTAACCACTGTGCCATATCTCCAGCCCTTTTATTTTGAGACAGTCTTGCTGAATTGCTTAGGGCCTCACTAAATTGCTGAGACTGGCTTTGAACTTGCAATCCTCCTGCCTCACTCTCTGGAACCACCGGATTCTGTCTTGCATTTTTAAAGTGATAGTTATCTTATTTTTAAGCCATTGCTTCAGACCCTAATATATTCCTTTAGCATCTTCTTTTGTGTGTTTTGTAAACATTAAGAAAAAAACCTCAATTTCTTTTTTTTTCTTTTTCTTTTTTTTGTGCAGGGGATTGAACCCAGTGTCTCTTGACCACTGAGCCACACACATCCCCAGCCCCCCACCCTTCTTCATTTTTTAACATTTTATTTAGAGACAGGGTCTCATTGAGTTGCTAGGGCTCACTAAATTGCTGAGGCTGGCTTTGAAGTTGCTATCCTTCTGCCTCAGGCTCCTGTGTTGCTGGGATTACAGGTGTGCACCACCATGCCCGACCCCAAATTATTTTTAAAGTGGTCTGTGCTGTATCACGCTTAAGCTGACATTGGTGTGAGGATCATCTGTATGTGATGGGTTCACCATGTTTTAGGCTTTTTCCTCTAACTTGACTTAGAAGGAAGTTTCTGAGTCTTTTAAGTACCTTGTCATACAGTGAAGCTCTGTGACTTGTCAATGAATTCTAGACTCATGATGTCCCTGTTTGTCATGCTGATCTTGCCTCTTCTCCAATGGTATTCTGCAAAATTCATGCTCATCTTACATCATCCCTGATAAATTATTGATATCTAGAGCTTCACTTTAGTGTCAGCTCCAACTGCTGCCATGTCACCAACCAGAAAGCACTGTGCAAATTTGAGTTGCTCAGGGAAATCAGTATTGATGATATCCATATGGTTATCAGACTATAATCTGAGTTCTAAGTGGAAGTGGATTTGTTTTGCTTTGGACTCAACTGGTTCAGTTTCTTCTTTTTTTCTTTCAGAACATTTTATCAAGACCCTGCCAGAATACCAGGTGGTGGGTCCTGTCCAAGTAGATGAGAGTGGGCATTTCCTGTCATATAGCTTGCACCTTCCTGTCCCCAGCAGCAGAAGGAAGAGAGACTTGGGTTCCTCAGAGGACTGGGTCTACTACCAAATTTCACACGAGGAGAAGGACCTGTTCTTCAACCTGACAGTCAATCAGAGATTTCTTTCCAATAGCTACATCGTGGAGAAGAGATATGGGAACCTCTCCCATGTTAAAATGTTGGCCTCCTCGGGGCCTCCCTGCCATCTCAGGGGCACAGTTCTGCAGCAGGGAACCACAGTTGGGACTGCAGCCCTCAGCGCCTGCCATGGACTGGTGAGTGCTTGGGCTAATCATCTGCCCCTGCTCCAGACCCTTAGACCCTCAGCCTGTTAGATCCTTTATCCACAGGTTCATAGCTGTATCAATGCATGACAGTTGGGCCCTTGTGATGTCTTGATCTGGACCTTCAAAGGGGTGGAGAGAACGTGATTTATTTGGGAGGTGCAGATAGTAAGGACACTGAGGGTTTTAGTGCAAGAGAACCAGAGGGGCAGGTGGAGGAGAAAATGGAGGACATGAGTTGGGTCTTCAATCTCTGGGTCAACTCTGAGGGTTTTGTTCATTGGATGGCTGGCCAGCACCTTTGGAATGAGAAAAATCCAAATTTGAACTGCTTTAGAGTTTTACTAATAATAATGGTGACAAGAGAAGCTGCTATGATATAATAGTTGACTATATGTACTTCATTATCAGAGTTCACGTAGCATCTTAGGCTGTGAGTGGATCCCTGTGCACTTTTATTTGTTATCTGTAAATCTATAAATGGATATAATGACAGAACCAGCCTCAGAGGAGGGGTTGGCAAACTACTGCTCACTGACTTTTCATAAATACGACTTTACCGAAGCAGATGCACCCCTGTTTCTAGAACACCAGTCCCTGGAATGTGTGGTTTATGATGAGGTTTACGTACATTGTCCTCCTCCCCATTTTTTTTTAGCAGATGAGGTCGTTTGGAAATACCAAATAATTTTATTGTGCAAGTTAACTTAATCCTGAGTTTTCTACTATTATACATCACCTCTCAGAGGGTGACTTTTCCAAAGTTTAAACCTGTATTTAAAATGAGTTCCATCCCTTTGTTCTCCCTTGATTCTGGCAGCGGCTGCAGTGACATCCTGCCAGCAAGCGATGGCCAGCATGCTTAGGGACCGTGCTGATGGTTTTTGAGGTTTTTCCTCTTGCCGAAGTAGGAGACAGTGACTGGTGCTCACAGCGTGGGCGGGGAGGGTGACTTCAGGGGAACACTCCAGAGCGCTGAAGGTGACAGGTATCCAAGGTTTTCCAAGCAAAGCAGCTAGTGACCTTGCATTCATACAGAAGGCACTTGTCCCAAGTCCTTCCACCATTACTGTCATTTTGCTAAGAATTTTTGTTCTTCAAAATTTTGGTCTGTGTTTATCTTGTATCTGTAGAGTTTGGCTTTGCTGGAATACTGTGGGAAAACTCTTGTAAACATTGTACAACCGTTTAAATCTTCTGAAGGACCCCTGGGAATGAATTGCTATGTACAGTAAATGGAAAGAATTTTTTAATGGCTTTTTGTGTACATCTGGATATTCAAATGTAGATTTTCTTTTTAGCATTTCCCCTAATTAGACCATAAACATTAAAAAAATCATGAATGAGCCCCTCTTCTGCTTTTCAGCTTCTTGTAGTGCTTGGTGGAACTGGGAGACATCCTCATTCACTGGGTTCACCCTAGCTTCATGTCACATCTTGCCTTGTAGTCCTAGATCTCTCATTTCTGTGACACAATCATGAAAGCCAACCAATAAGTATCATTATCACCTTACCCTCTGTCACCAGCACAGCAGAAGAAAGAGCCCCTGATCTGGAAGGATGGGCACATAGAACTAAAAAATCCAAGAGACAAGCATGCAGAATCCACACTGTTCTGGAGAACACTAATGTGGGAACTCATTCTCTGCACTAGGCATGCAAATAATTATCATGCTATTAAGAGCCTAGGAACTTTAAACCAAGGTGCCTTTTCATGGGTTAGAGCAGTGTGGTCTTTGGACCAACAGAAACAGTGGGTGTTTATTAGTGGTGTTATCCAACATTGCTAAGAAGGAACTGTTTTCTTCAGGTGATTATAGCAAGCAGCCAAAGGTGCAAACCACTGCTCTCAATTTCTCCTTGCTTTCCAAGGAAATGACATACTGCTCAACATTACTCCAGACTTGGGTATGCAGAGCTGGAACTTTTTTAACTGCACAGAGCCCCAGAGGATCAGTGGGAACCACCGTGTGGGCATTTCCAGATTCAGATTTGAGATTTGTTCTAAGTATAGGAGAACCACGTGGTGTCCAAGATGATTTTGGAATATTTTAGAGCCCAGTCACTGAATGACTTCACGAGAAACACTCCATGGGATTGTTTGGGACTTGATGTTTTGGGGAACTCTACTTCCACCAGTGGCCTGGTTTAGGCACCTATGCTCTGGACTCTGTATCTGGGACAGTAAACAAAAACTTGTTTTCTGCTAATAGGACATTCTTTAATTCCTGCTCATAGTATTTCTTAGCTGCAGCTTTATCAAAGTGAGTACTGTTTTTGACTGTGTCACAACCCTTTGCCTCATTTCCAGCCCTTCCTGGGAAATTAAATCCTGATTCCTAGTCTGAATGGTCATGGATCTCTCCAGAACCAGGCAGCTTCAGCTCCCACTCCACTCTGGCCTATGTTTTCCTTTCTCGTTTGGCTCATTGAGGTTTCCTTTCTTGTTTTGAACTCCAATGTGTACTAAAATTTTGAATGAGGGATTTTCAGGGTTTTTTTTTTCTTGAAATCAGACTCTTAATTTGAGATAGTTGTAGACTCACATTTAGTTTTAAGAACGAGTCGAGAAAGACCTGGCATACCCTTAACGAGTTTCCTCCAATGGCAACATTTTGCAAAATTACTGTACAGTATCACAGTCAGGATTTTGATACGGATGCAGTCAAGATGTCAATGTTTCCATCACAAGATTCCCTCGATATTGTCCTTATAGCCATACCCATTTCTCTCCTCCCTCCCATCACCTCCCATGTTTACATTTTACATGTCAGTCTGTGATCCCCTTTGAGTTAATCCTTGTATGTGAGGTGAGACTTAGGTGGGAGTTCATTTCTCCACTCCCCTCCCTCCCTCCTTCTCGGCCTCTTTCCCTTTCCTGTACCTTCCTCTTTTCCTCCCTCCCTCCTTTCCCTTTCTTCCTTCCTTCCCTCCTTCCTGCCCCCTTTCTCCTTCCCTTTCTTCCTCTGCTTTTCTTTACCCGTGGATGTCTAAAGGCTCCAGAACCATTAGTCAAAAAGCTGTCTTTCCTCCCTTAAATTGCGTTCACACTTTTGTAAAAATCAATCAGACATACTTCTGTGAGTCCATTTCTAAGTTTTAGGTTCTGTTCCACCARCTTCCCACAGTCTTCATTACTTGACTGTATAATCTTGATATTAGTTCGACTCTCTCATTTCATTCTCCTTTTTCAAAAGAGTTTGGCAGATTCTAGCTCCTTTGTCTTTATGTGTAAATTTAAAAATGATCTTATATACAAACAACTTGATGAGATTTTGATAGGAATTATATTAAACCTGTATATTAACATGGGGAGAATTGGTAACTTTGCTACTTTTGAATCTTGCAATCCATGAACCATGTTTGTGTCTGGGTTTATTTAGATCTTCCTAGATTTATTTTATCAATATTCTGTAGCTTTTGGCATGCTAGTCCTGTGTATGTTTTATCAAGAAATGATTTAAAGTATATAAGAGATGTACATAGCTTACATGCAAATATTACAGTATTTTATTTAAAGGACTTGAGCACCTCTAGGTTTGGGTATATAAGGGGATTCTGGAATTATATGCCTCATATCTATGGACATTTAGTTTTTTTCTCTAATTTGACTATTGTGAATATTTCTACAATGAAAAGAGGAGTGCAAGTTGAACTGCTGAATCATATACTAATTCTACCTTTAGCTTTCGTTAGTAATCTCCATGCTATTTTCCATAAAGGTGATTCTAATTTATATTCCCACAAACAGTATATAAGGGTTCTCTTTTCTCCATATCCTCACTGAAAGAACGAACAGGGCTCCTCGAAGAAAATGCCCATTTATTGAGGAACAGCTCTGCATATTTATAGAGCCAGGGTGGTTTGACAGTTATGACAGTTTAATGGTTTGACAGTTGGCATGGGGTGCTTTCTGATTGGTGGGTAAGGATCATGTGAGTCAGAAGGACTAGTCTGATTGGCGGGTAAGGATCATGTGAGCCAGCAGGGCTAGTCTGATTGGTGGGTAAGAATCAGTGAGCCAGCAGGGCTAGTCTGATTGGTGGGTAAGGATCATGTGAGCCAGCAGGGCTAGTTTGATTGGTAGGTAAGGATCATGTGAGCCAGCAGGGCTAGTCTGATTGGTGGGTAAGAATCAGTGAGCCAGCAGGGCTAGTCTCATTGGTGGGTAAGGATCATGTGAGCCAGCAGGGCTCACCATTGGACGGCTCTTCTCGGGGGATGGGGAAGTTAGTCTTTGGAGCCGGCTCAACTCCCAACCCTCACCAGAAATATCTCCTTATGATTTTGATGTGAACCTCTGTGATATTAAATGAAGTTAAGTGCTTTTCATATCTGCTGGCCATTTCTATGTCTTCTTTGAAGAAGTATCTATTCAAGTCCTTTGCTAAGTTTTTTTTTGTTTGTTTTTTTTGTTGTTGTTTTTTTAGAGAGAGAGAGAGAGAGAGAGAGAATTTTAATATTTTATTTCTTAGTTCTCGGTGGACACAACATCTTTGTTGGTATGTAGTGCTGAGGATCGAACCCGGGCCGCACGCATGCCAGACGGGCGTGCTACCACTTGAGCCACATCCCCAGCCCCCTTTGCTAAGTTTTAATGTGTGTTTTGTTCTATTGATTTACAGGAGTTCTTTATATATTTTGGATATTAATCTAATATTGAATATGTGGTTTGGAAATGTTTTCTCCCATTTCATAGATTGCCTTTCATTGTGTTGACTTTCCTTCTGCAGAATCTTTTTAGTTGGATGCACTAGTCTGTTTTGCTTTTGTTGCCTGTGCTTTTGGTGTCATATTAAAAAAAAAACAAAAAAGTCATTGCCCAAACCAATGTCAAGAAGAAGCTTTTAAGCACATCAGTTTCATTCATTCTCCCAGATAATGCGTATGGGTGAGCTATTCTTTTGTATTCTTCTGTCAAGTCCAAAGTGGGCCTGAGGACATCCAGTTCTGCCCCTACTAGTCTCATGGCCTAGAGAAAATGAAGACTC